GTAGTCAGTACTAGTGACTACACGTGTCAAAACATGTAGGATAATTATTTGTTGAAGAAGAAATAATGCAACAATATAAATTTAATGATGTAGTGAAAGAATTAAAGGTGGAAAATGTGGTGGCGACAGCTAGGGTAGTGTGTGTTAAGTGTTAAGCAAGGGTTTTGGGGAAAGTTGTAGTTGTAAGTTGTGGGGCATTTAATTGATGCTGCCATTATCTGTTAATAGTGTAATAATTAGTGAGGATTTTGGTTTCAACGTCCAACTAAAAACTCAAGCTATTTATCCACACGTGCAGAGCGGAGCACACGTGCATGAAGCAAGTGGCGACAATACCGATGGATGTATCCGGGGGAGGTTTCTTTCTTTCGGTGGAAAGTATTGTCATAAACAAGTGTCTCAATTTCTTTTAATACCACTACTCATTTATGCTTTTGTACACTGTAGGGTAACCAACAAAGAAATGAAGAGCGACAAAATAAATTATAGAAAATAAAAAGTTATTACTTCCATTTTTTTAACAATGTATGTTTTGCACTTAATGATTTAAATGGCAAAACCTACAAAATTAATTTAAGTTATATATTTTGCATTATATGAGACTTAACATTATTTATACTCGACTTAGTTGTGATAAGTTAAATATTGTGGTTCTATAAGATTTAATCACTTCAATTGTATATCTCTTAATATATGAATTTAAACGTATTAGTTGTTTAAAGTTGTTATGACGATATTGTTGTGATGTTGTAAAGTGTTGAGATGTTAGAATGATGTTGTTTATAAGTTAAAAGTTGATATATAGAGTTACATTAAATCTTGATTAAGTTGTTTATGTTGCATTGTTGTAAGCCAATGTAGTGAATGTATGTTGATTTCTTTTCACAAGATTATCCTTGTTGTTTCTTGTGGATGAAATTGTAATAATCATATTATGTACAAAAATAATACAAGATTAACAAGATGACTTGGTTAGTTGACAGAGTGTCATGTTGGTGATGACCTAATTTTGTTCATGTAACTTTGATATAGTATTTTGTTGTATAAACATTTGATTGATGATTATGAGTCATTTTATGTACATGTATGTAAATGGTGTAAGAGTATGTATGTAACCCTATAAAAGGATTTTATAATTTTAATTGTTTTATTTACTGTTTTATATACATGTATAAATTACATAAATGACCAGATAAATGTTGCCTAAGAATCTTAGAATAATCAATTTGCATTTGGTATTTTTTGTTGCTTAATAACTGAACTATATTAAATGTAGCGACCTATCAAATCATTACATCTTTTATATAAACGATTATTATACAAATGACAAGGTAATTGTTGCGTGAGGACCTAAAAATAATTAATTTGTATTTGATATTTTTCGTTGTTTAGTAACTAAACTATAATAAGTATAATAACTTATTAGATTGTTACATTTTTTTTTATATCAAAGACTATTATATAATTCATCAATCATCATGAAACTAATTAAATTAATCAATTTTAATTTTAATTTGTAAAATTAAATGATAGTTACATTATATATATATAAAGAAATTAGAGTAATATTTTTTAATTAATGAACATGTTGTATAGTGCTAGTATTTCAATAAATATATATTTCATGAAAAATATAGAAAAATTTACCAATGATCACGTTTAAAAGTAGACATGCACACGTTTCTTTTAATTAATGTAAAAACAATACTCTTGATTATTTTATTTTATATATATATATATATATATATATATATATAATTATAATTAACTGGTTAGATTTAAACTGAGATCTAAAAAAAAAACCCTTATTTGTCTTCATTTCTTAAAGGTGTCAAATTAGACAACTTAACTTACTATAAAAATAAGTTGAGTTGAATTTTATAAACTACTTTTAATTTTGATTCATAAGTCACGTTAGAATTTATTAATATACCAGAAAAACATTTATCGTAACATTTACTTCTTAAGTTTTGAAGTCTTAATCTTTGTATTTATTTTTTAAAGCAATTCATCTTAGTTTTTATTTAATAAATATAATTGATGCCCTATATAAAATTAATAATTAAAAACTAATTTTATTAGTTATTTATCATTCACGTTTCGATTACATTTTACTAAAATTAACCCCTAATAATGTTATTCTCTTACAGTAATTACTTTTCGTAATCTTTCTACATGACTATTACTAAAAAAAAATTTTAGTTTTTATATATTCTCGAAGTAACAGAGTCAAAATTGCTTTTTAATTTAATTTCTGTAAATTAATTAAAGTACGTTACTATTTAATTAAAATCCTGATCACAATTTAATTAAAATTTTAACTTGTCTTATACTTTCTTTTTACGGCACTTGTTTTATACTAATTTTGATCATTTAGAAAGAGACTTGTTTTATACCGTACTATTTTTTATTATTATTAAGGAATACTCTCGTTGAACATAAAACCAAACTCTCTCAATAATCTAACAAACATGAAAAAAAAAAACTTGTTTTATACTATTAAATTAATGTAACATTATTAGCTTGAACAAAATTATAGCTAGGAGATAAAATGAGTCATGCCAATTGATTTATTTTATTTTTTGAGAGCAGAAAATAAAAAAATAAAACAACCATAATTTATGAATCATTAAAAATTGAAAATATTATTTAAAAAAAAAGAGAGTAATATTAGACGGAGTTTTTAAGAAATGCATGGGGCATTGTATCCAGGATTTTGATGAAACTAGAGCAGAATTTGATTTCACGTGTCGACGTCGAAAAAAGTTGGTGGTAGTCACTACCTTGTAGGGTAGGTGGAATGTGCCAAAATTATCATTCAAACATTCAAACATTAAAATATGTTTCTTTTATTTTTTATTTTAATATTAAAACTTTTAGGAATTTTTCCATAATATATTTTTTGTTAAATCACTCAAATTTTAATTCTTTTATAATTTTACTAGAAACATTAAATCATTTCATGTCTCTAATAATTATATATAGTAAATATATTAAAAAATTGTGTGAAATTATTCAGAAAATATATAATTTTTTATATATTTGAAGGATATGATAATTTATTAAAAAATAGAGACTAAAAACGGTTACATACTTTACTATCCCTTTGATAATATGTATAAATATTTGAAGGATATAATAATCTACTAAAAAATAGAGACTAAAATTAGTTATATACTCTATTATTTCTTTTATAATATGTATAGATGTGTAAATAATTATATTTTAACTTTTTAATAATTTATTTTTATAGTTTTGTGGGCAGAGATAAACCACGTTCAGGTCGCCGCATCCCGGTAAAACGCAGTAGAGTGGACCCCACACGCTTTTTCAAAATCAACTTTCGAATAAATGATATTTGAACCACGAAACTCGAAGGAACTTTCAAAGGGACCCAAGTTTGTGTTTTGCGTCATCATATTTCATAAATTTATACAAAATTAATTTAAAACTTAAAATTATATAATTTTGTGAGAAGCAATGTCTTATGAAATGTAATTTTATAATTTAATATTGTAATTTCATATCCTTTTGTAGTTATACTTTAAAATCACTTTCTTTCAAACTTGCATTTATTTAAAATAAACACACATCATGTATAAACAATTTTGTAAAAGTTTGTCCGAATACACACTAAGTTTGCGTCCAATTATTTCATATGTAGGAATTAGGAAAGGTATTGAACTTATTGCTCACATGAAAAAGTAAAGAAAAAAGGCGTAAAATAAGTGTTGTAAATAATTTATTATCTATCGAGTAAAGTGGTTGTTGTGGTAGGCCAAGCCCAAGTTCATTGGTGCACAAGTGTTTTCTCCCTGTCTGTTGGGCTCGTTGGCCTTTTTGTTTTGATCCTTTCTAACCTTGCTCACAAATAAAAACGTCTCGAGTTCAACGGTTCATTCCTAAGGCTAGTTCTATCACACCCTTAATTAAAAATAAATAAATTATCTGTCTGAAATAGACCCATGAAATTTCTCTTTCCAACATGATAAGGGATAACTATTATTTGCATCTATCCAAAATAATAATTTTTATGATTTCTATAGTCCCAATCAGTACCCTGTAACATATTTAAGGTGCATGAGTTTTAAGTGTTCTAATAAAATTCCACACATTGCATGCATGTTGCAAAAATAATCTCTCTCTCTCTCTCTTTCAGGAAAAAAAAAATAATTTCTGCAACATGCATAAAAATTATTGGAGAAGGAGGGGTCAAGGCCCTGCTTGTTCCTATGGGTTCTTTCTTGGAAGGGTTATTAGAAGTTTTATCCATGTTAAACGGGTGATTTGTCGGGCTAAAAAAAAACTTTTGACTTAAAAATATTTTTCACCAAGTTAGTTGGGGTATTTTTCTTTATAAATTTAGTTATTTAGTTGTACTTAATGGTTATATTTATTTTCTACAAATCATGTATGACTGTATAAAATAGATAGAACAAAATATTATTATCTCATAATTTGTTTTCTTCGTATTGCACTATTTTTATTTTAAAGGCTCTTGGGTCATTACCAAAAAGAGGTATTACCAAAGAAAGGCTCTTGGGCCGAGAAATGGCCCGCGTAATATTATTGTAAAGTGCTGTGGTTTTTGTCTTTAACTGGCTTACTAAAAACTGTTCTCCCTCCCCCACTCACTCACATATAAACAAAATTAATTAAAATTATTTAATTTTGTTAATATCAATTAGCAATATTTTCTTTTTCAATATTGTATTTTATTGAAATTTGATATTAAAAAATAAAATAAAAAGAGCCGTTGAAATAAAACCTCAATTAAATAACAGATATTTTTTAATATAATATCATTGGATAGGATAAAAAATAGTTAATATTTGCCTATATTTTTATCTACCATTCATGATTTTGAGTAAAAGAGTATAAAATAGCAAGAAAAACTTACAGAAGGTGACATGGTGACCAGTGAGCAACACTAATAATTAAAGGGGAGATAATAAATAAAATAAAAATAAAAATGTATATTTGTAAGAGAAAAAAGTATGTAAGAATTTTTTTTTTAATACAGGACTATTAGTCACATTAAATATTGTTGCAAATAATGATAATGTTTGTAACAAAAAAGTTGACCACATAAAAGAACTAACTTCTTTTACGTAAATGATGAAAACACTCATATAAAAAATACACAATCAACATAATTGATATTTACTAAACAACCCCAAAATCTTATCATGGTTTCTAGAATAAGTATACATTTTGCTATCTTTAAGCATACATGAGGTACATTCACCAGTAAAATTTGCAAGAACATAACTTCCTTTTTCACCATTTATTTTATCTGGTTTGGAAGTTAAGTGTTTTGATGGCGAAGGCAAATATAAAGGCAAAGAAGACTGGAAAAGCGACCAAAACAGCAGCAACTGGCCCCATAAAGTCTGGTTTGAACCCATAATTGTCCTCAATATAGAACTTGATTGTTTGATTTTGCTTACCAGGCACACTAATGTAGTCCTCAATATCTCTATACTGTGAGACAATTAACCCATATACTGTCCATGCTAATGGGCAAATCCAATAATACCAAACCCACCATTTAGGGATTTTCTGAAATGCCAAAGTTGATATAGCAATTATAATGTTAGTGAACAAACATGACAAGAGTAATTCTTAAATATTTTGATGCACAATAACTGAATTAGAATGATACTTACTGGTCTTGCGATAAAGAAACCAGAAAAGAGATTGAAGAGTCCATAGAATGCTGCTCCCATGATTGATGCCACTTGGTGGTTTGGTGTAATGGAAACAGTCATCATCCCATAATATGTGAAGTACATGAAGGAGAAGAAACTAATAAAGAAAAACCAAAAGAACTTGGCCACTGTCCATTCAAAGCTCACCATAGCATACACTATGAATGCGAAACATATAGTTTGAAGAAATATATATGGTATTTCACATATAACCTGCCATTGAAACAATGGAAGCATATTAAGCCACATATACTAGATGCAAAAGAAGTTTCATAATTCTTTAAATAGATTCCTCCTTTAACCTGTCCAATGGCATAAGGCAAAGCAGAATACATTCCAGCAGCTCTTTCTCTGTAGAACACTGTTCTTTCAACAGCTACCACTGGTTGAACAGTTTGACAATTGTTAACACCAACAAAGAAAACCGAACCATACAATGCTCCTATAATGGTACTCAGATCGGTTGAGTTATCCCTGTAAAAATATGATGCGAAAAACATTAGTTGTAATGTAAAACAAAATGCTTAAGAGAGTCAAAGGTGTCAACTTTAAACCTTTTTTTGCCAACCCTCCAAAACACTGTCCCCACCATGAGAGCTGCAGCCAGGGTGAAGAAAATTCTGACAAGGTTATAATCTGGACTCCTCCAATAACTTATCCATTGCTTCCATAAACAAGATTTGAATTGTTCCCAAGTAGATTGAGAATACTGAGTTGGGAAATACAAATCTTTTGCTCCTGAAGGAGGTATAATTAACTCCTTTATAAGAGCTTTGTTTCGCCTACTCGTAAGCACGTAAAAATGTTAGCTTAACACAAGAAGTAAATGCATGTAATCTCACTTGACAACACAACTTTTATAGACTTACTGATACAAAGATGATGATTTGTAGTACTCGGCAAAGTCCATTGCAAGTCGAACTTCAGCTGCTATAGAGCTTACCTCTAACATCCATGTAGCTGGATTGTACTTATCCTTAATTTTTGGGACCCCTGGGATTGCCTGAGACCATGAAATTAGACGTTGAACTTGAATCTCTAGTTAAATTATTTCATAAATAAAAAACTATTATTTTGTTGTAATACCTCAAAATATTCTACAATCTTGTGTGAGTTCCTTCCTAATGGTCCTGAGTAGATCACTTGCCCTCCTCTCTTCATCAATAACAACTAGTGCACAAGAAAATATTTATCTACTAAAGAGCCACAGAGATAAAGAGAAGCATATGACACATAAATTGCAAGTTTGTTGGTACCTCGTCAAAGGCTTCAAAAATATCAATGCTAGGTTGGTGAATTGTGCATACAACTGTTCTTCCAGTGTCAACAGTGTTTCTCACAGTCCTCATTACAATGGCTGCTGCTCTTGCATCGAGACCTGAAGTGGGCTCATCCATGAAAATGATTGAAGGATTAGCAACGAGTTCAACAGCAATTGTTAGCCTCTTTCTCTGTTCAGTTGATAACCCCGTGACACCTGGAAGCCCAACTATAGCATCCCTCAGACTATTTAGCTCGACCAAATCCATCACTTCTTCAACAAATTTCTACAAAAGAGTAAGAAAGCGAGATTTTAGTTTCACTCTTATATGTAAATTTATCAAGAACATTAAAAAAAAGGTTTAAACTTTTTCAAAAAGCACTTTTTAGGAGATAAAAAAATATGAAGAAAAAATAAAATATGTTTTTTCATGAAATAAAATTAATTTATGTATAAACTAATTTATAAAAAAAAAAATTCATGTAATTTCTCTAAAAAAATTAGAGTAATTTTAGTTTATAAAAAAAAATCATTTTATTTTATTTTATTTTATTTTCATATTTTTTTCTCTCAAAAATATTTATGGAGAAGTTTACTCAAAGGTGTACATAATGTTATTGCTTAGTGCTTACCATTTTTTCCTCATTATTGACTTCTCTAGGTAACCGAAGGAAAGCAGAATAGATCAAAGATTCATGAACAGTAACTTGGGGTGAATGGATATCAGTTTGCTCACAGTAGCCAGAAATTCTTGCAAATGTCTCTTGGTTCTTGGGGAAACCAGATATTCTGACATCTCCTTCAATGTATCCACCTGTCTTTCTCCCTGCTAAAACATCCATCAAAGTTGTCTTTCCAGCTCCACTAACTCCCATTAAAGCAGTTAAAACTCCCGGCCTGAAGGCACCAGTTACTTCCTTAAGTAATTGTAGCCTATCCTCTGTCACTCCTTGTTCTCTCATTTCCTGTTCAAAGTTAAAATTTCCTATGTAAGTAAGCACCTTGATTATGAGTGATACAAAGTTATATTGAAAAAGGTGATGATGGGGTTCTTACAGCAGGCATGTCCACATAATAATTAACACTATCAAAAGACATTGCAAGTGGTTGAAAAGGTAAAACCATTCCTCTCTTGGGGGCAACTCCAGTGGCCAATTCATGTGTTGAATCAATGCTTCTTAATCTACTAGAATCACCTTGGCTATTCATTTGTTTCATTGCTGCTTCTCATCAAACGATTCATTTACAAGACAAGGTTAATTAGGAACATTACAAGTATCATATACAAAGAGTACACTTTTAGCTAAACCGTTCATTGTCAAAGTTATCTAGTTTGATATTTACCAATGTTTCTTCCATCGGTAGAAGATATTGATTGAAGGGCTATCTCTCTGTTAGGCTCTTCCTTTTCACTTGCTTCTTCTTCAGATATAATTGCTTGTTTTTTCCCAATAGCTAGTAAATCAAATTATAGAAAATACAATAAAAGGATTATCAACACAAAACAACCAGTGACTGAAGTAATTCATTTAAAAATTTAATTAGAAGACGAGTTCTTACGATTGAGGAACATAAGTGCAAAGGTGAAGAGAACATTGTACAAAACGACGAAACCCAAAAGTACTGCTGCACCTATCCAGTACCATCGTTTTTGAGCATAAACATCAAAGTTATTTAATGTAGCTATACCAATCGAGGTTGTAGGATCTGTAGACTACAAACAAAGAAAGTTCACGTAAAAGATAAGTTTCAAGTTAAGCCTTTAAATTGCAATTTCTTATACTATTGAAAGCTCATGCTACTTACCGGTTTGGCCCACCTTGGAGCAAACATTTCATTTACAGAAAAAGCATTGAATGCATATGTTAATGGTGAAACCCAATAGCCCCATATCCACCAATTTGGAATGTCACCTATTAACATCAAGAGGTGTGAACATTTAGGTGAGCACATTCTTTGAAAAAATGACATGATATATTATTCTGGTGATGACTTTCAACAATGCCTACTTAAAGCTTAATCAGTGACTCACGTTTAGGCATGATGAAACCTCCAAGTAAAAAAACAATAAGGAGCATGACAGCTCCACCAGTGTTAGCAACAATCATTGTCCTACAAACTCCAGATATCAGCCTAAACATTCCAGCCGCCATTTGTTGGACAAGAAAAACTAACAGCAAGTGCTTGAAGAACCTGAAAGTTGGATTATAAATACATCACTTACTATTACAGTCATGCTATTTACTTTTAGGTTTAATGGTGATATACTATCTATATAAAATATTTTATACAATCAACCAATTAGAATTCTCAAATTATATAACTTTTAAGATAATTATTATAAAAGTCAATAAATTAATTATCTATGTAAATTGTGATTAGATATCACCATTAAACCCTTTATTTGTTAGAAGGTAATCATAATTTGCTCAATTTTATGATGATTAAAAAGATATGAATAAGTTTGGATGAAAATATGAGTAAAAAAAGGTAATTAAGGTTACCTGCTAGCTTCAGGAGCTAATCCTATTGGGTAGTATGTGAGAAGTGTCCAAACAATAGCCTCAAACATAGAAATGGGTATCCTTAGGAGGAAATTAGGGACGGTGTAAGTCCAAGGAGGATGGAAAAGGTGGTCTCTGTGCTTGTAGAATACAGGGAGTCTTGCAATTGTGAGTGGTAGCTCAGCAAAACCATTGAACATGTTAATGATCATGGTATACAAAATTGCACCAATGTAAACTGCAGCATCACCCTCATCCCTTCGATGCATTTTGGTCCTAAAGAATACAGTTGCAGATATGATAGCCATAATACATATTTGAACTGTCTTGAATATATAGACAAAAGAGTTCCTCTTGATCAGTAGCCATTCCCTGTCCCAACATGCTTTAAAAAGTTTTTTTATGGGAACTGTATATTTATTGAACACCAGAGCTGCTCTATGCCCCGTTGATTTGTCAAATGGCACAGCAAGTTCATTCTCAAGCTGCATTCCAACATGGAATTGCTTGAATCTGCTTACAAACTCGCTCACTGCAATGTAACGGTATGGTACGCTTCTATTTGCCCAATATTGTTCTTGGTCTTTCCTTGAAGTGACCTATACAAAATTAACAAGTCTCATTTGTTTTATTTTATCCCTTTTCACATTTTGAAAATTGAAATAAGCCCTTTTGTAATAATTTATCACAAAATAAGCCCTTGGAGTGCATATTTATGGTATTGGTTGCACCTGGTTTTATAAGCATTTATTGTACGTTATAAGAAATTTTCCACCGTAAAACCCTACAATTAAGATTTTTCTAAAGTAAGAATGTTAAATTTTGACGAGTTTATAGTTATTTATGAAAAAGTTAGTGGGTGAACTTCTAAACAAATTTGATTCATTTTATTTTTAATGATTTCTTTTTATTTTCTTCTGTTATAGATTATTGTTGAGAATGATATCCAAATCGACTCGATGCCTACAAATACAACTAATAAAAAAAATTAAAATACCTTTTTTAGGAAATCATTCGAATAACTTTTGTACAAAATTTTCTTCTTCCATTTTATTAATATATATTAAGCTTCTTATTAGTTGTGTTTATGTGAAACAACTGAGTTTATGTAAAAGTTGCTTTTGGTTTAATTTTATTAAACCAAATTTAGTTAAAATTTTACCCTTGACTTCAATTGTCATTATTACAATTATTTGGTATTATTATTTTTAACAACAATGTCGTGTTTTGAAAAGCAAGAACTATTTTTTTTTCTTCATTAATATTATAAATTCAAATACAAATTTTAGAGAGTGAATCTCTCACACTTTTTACGCACATATTTTCAATATTTTTCTCTCTCTTCACCTTTAAAAATGCATTTCATCATTTCATACACTATATATTTTTTTATTTAGCAAGAAAAAAAACTCAGTCATGTTAAAGTATTCTCCTTTATTATTTTATGCTTAATTTTCTTAATTGTATATCTCCTTTTAACCTACACTCTTATAACTCTATCTCTAAATTGAATTTTAAAAGAAATTATTGATAATTAAAAATAATTTTATATAATAATTTAAATTTAAATATAACTTATTTCTTTAAATATATTTATTAATTATGAATTTTAAGTATAATGTAATTTTCATATTAAAATTAATCATTCATTATATATTTTAATTATATATATTATATTATATTATAGGCTAAATTATGTTTTTAGTCTTTTATTTTATTTTAAAAATTTATTTCAGTCATTTTTGGTCCCTTTAAAATGATGGTTGTTTCTATTTTTGAGACATGATTCTAAATCATTTTTTTACTAATTTAAAACATAAACATTGTCTCATTAGATTTAATTATATTAAAACTATTGAACACAAATACAATTCAAACAAAAAAGTGTCATAAACATGATAAAAATCAAATAAAAATAAGTTTAAAAATAAATTAAAATTTAAAAATATTTAATTTCATATTATTTTCTAATTTTTATCAGATATTTTTCACTATATTTATAAGCCTTTTAGATTCAAAAGTCAATTCAACTTTATAATTTTCATTTAGATAAATTTAATACTATAAGTTTCGCATCTTGAATCAATTAAAAAATAATTTAAAATAATGTTGTAACATTGAAAATAATTATTATTTTGAAAAGATCATATTGGTTCAAATATAAAAGATAAATGATAAAAACAAAATATTAATAAATAAAAGACTAAAATAAATCTAAAAATTAAGATAAATGAAAAAAATATAATTTAAATTATATTATACCATATTATGTATTTGTATGATAAAATACTAATTAATTAAAAAAATGAGAGAACTTAAAAAAAGGAAAAGGAAAAAAGAAAGAGAGAAGAGTGATACCTCCTGTAAGAAATCTGCGATGCCTTTTCTTTCGGGACATTTAAATCCACAAGATTCAAAGAACTCAACGATGTTTTCACGTGGGCCCTGATAAACAATCTGGCCCTCCGATATTAAGATGATGTCATCAAAGAGATCGAAGGTCTCTGGAGCAGGTTGGAGTAGGGACATCAATATGGTTGCTTCCGTCAGATGCACTACTTGTTGGAAGCATTTCACTATTTGATATGTTGTCGAGCTATCAAGACCCGTTGATATTTCATCCATAAACAATGTTTTCGTCGGCCCAACAATCATTTCCCCTAATGCCAAATCATTACTTTTTATTAATTACATACTAACAACTCAAATGAAATACACTTTTTTTTTTTTTTTTATCATATCAAAAACAACAAATTTATTACACTTTTTTTACTTTGTATTGCATTGAAAATCACATTAATTGAATCCTTCTAGTTGAAATTTAATATATAGAAATAATTAATTTCTCATGAACATTTTAGTCAGTCAAGTACACGTGGTCATATCTTGACCTTGGGGAAATATTAGATTGGATAAGCAAGTTCGTACCATCTTTGAATAAGTTGATTAAACAAAGGCTATTCAAACATAAAAATTAAAAAAATAATAAAAATAACTAAGACATGATCACATGAATGATAGGGATTTGGGAACAAAAGAATTTAAGAAATTTGGATTTTGACTTTGTAGTTATTACCTGTGGTTACACGCTTCTTTTGTCCACCAGACACACCTCTCTGCATTTCATCACCCACAATGGTATCTTTGCAAATATCAAGTCCCAATATCTATTCAAACAGCAAACAATAAAAAAATGATTTCTTGTAACATAATCAAACCATTACTTTATAGTTTGGACTTTTGCGGGTGTGTGGATGGATAGTTTTATAATATAATATCATAATCTGAATTGTCAAGGTGATCTTCAACCGTATGCTTCCTTGAACATAAATGTTGAGTAAGAAAAGTCACTTACTTTGAGAGTATAGTCAGTGATGAGACTACTTTCGGTTCCTTCCATTGCAGTGGCCTAAAAATGTTGAAACTGTGAGAACTGAGAACTAAAAGTTGAGAAAACTTTCGGTTGTTTTGTTTAATCTTTGGGACATAATAATGAATACCTTCATGAAAAGGTCAAGTTCTGCCTCTGGAAATATGCCAGCTTCCTTTTCCCTTCGAGCAAGCTCGGCTAATAGGTCTACAACAACATATGTGTCAAATAAGTTTCACGGTTTTGCAGTTATAAATTGAACAGGATTTGTTGACTAAATTACCATATCGTGTCCCAACTCCTTGACATCTAGCAGAGAAATCGAGGGTTTCTTTTACGGTCATTTCTCCAATATGCACGTCATTTTGGCTAATGTAGGCTGAAGTTTTTCTAGGAACAAACTCGTGAAGCTCGCACCCGTTGTAAGAGATTTCTCCACTAACCTGTTTCAATCAAACACCATAGTTTCAATGCACGTGATACAAATTAATGAAAGGGCTGGAGGTGGATTATACATACCCTCAAATCATTGCCCAATTTTCCAGCCAATGCCAGCAAAAGGGTCGTTTTCCCGGAAGAGGGGGGACCAAGCAAAAGGGCCATCCTGCATGGTATTTAAACAAACTTGAAATCATTTATTAAGATTGCTCCGAAGAAGTTAATGATGAAAAGTTCGAGGTGGTACCTTGAAGGTTTAATAATGCCTGAGACATCTTTAAGAATGGTGAGCTTTCTTGTCTTTGTGGTACTAATCCCACATAAGCCAAGAGCTGATTCAGCAATGTTTAATGAAACATTCGGCAGGGTCGGCAGAGCTCTGCTGCCAATATACGAATCAGCCTCAACACTTAAATTTTGATACCTCACTTCTACTGTTGGGAGTCGGATACCAACCCTGCCATTCAAAATATGTTAGAGAATATGCAATCACCAGTTTCGTTTCACTTCATTCTTCAACCTAACATTTTCATTTTTCATTTTTTTTATCACTAGCAATTACAATCACAGTAACAAAACTAAATACTATCTCAACTCTTTCATCTTGATTTACAAAGCTAAAAACAAATATAGCTATTTAATTTTTTTAATCTACACGAAATGGCCCAATCTAATAAAATCCAATTTGGTATGATTCTATACATCTGAAATCACCCAGTCTAATTCTCATGGTATTTTTTTCATCTTAATTTAGGCCAACAGATTTTAGAATATTCAGTGGTTAAAGAGTCTACGTCACTTTACTTTTATTTCGTGGGAGACAGGGAGTACTCTTATACCAAGATTGTTCTCACTTGTTTTTAGTCCTATAAATGGGACACTTTCTACCCCACAAGAATCACAAGATCCAGTATTTTACATATATTATCACTCTGCTTATTCGTGTATTGACTTAGGCCTTAGAATGCAACTACCTTTTACCTTCTTTCCCCCCTCCATTTCCATAATTAATCTGATCTAGATAGATAACAAAAAACAATCTAGAAGCATGAAGGAAGGTAAAAAAAAATTAAGTCACCCGTCCGTGTCTCTTCAAGAATTTGAATCCTTTCATGTAATATTCTCTCTCTAGCAACATTAATAACCATGAGATATATCTAATGACTCAAATTTAATCTTATAATTAATATAACTTTTTAAATAATTTATATTCAATGATTATTAATGTTGCTAGAGAGAGGCTGGAGAGAAAATATTGCAAGAAAAGATCCAAATTCGTCTTTTCAATAATCCCCACCTCTTTAAAATCGCACTCTTTAACATTGAATTTGATTTTATGTTTGTTAAGAAGAAATGAGAAAGACAAGAACTCTTTTTTGTTTTTTTTTAATATATACAGAGACAATAAAAATAAAACCTAAGATATGATATTTCGTGTTACTAGGGCGAGCTAGATCTTACGCTCATGTCATGTGCATAGTTAAATAAAAAAAACATTTGTTGCAACTTGGCTTGCCGGCCGTAAACAAAGTCAAAGTGGTATCATAAACTAACCTTCATTTTTGTTTCTATTCAGACGTGTAACCAATAATTCAAATCTAAATTACATAGAACAAGTAACTGTCCACTTAATCACAATTGAGTAAGTCAGAAGTAAGTAGAAGCAAGCAAGGTCCATAAAGAGTATTCCTTAAAAAATTTAAAATTTGAAGAGATAACTTAAAACTTAAATTATATATTTTTAATGACATACAAGATAACCCTGAAACTTAGGGACTATTTAGCTTGAGGAAAAAATAATAATAAATATTAAAAAAAATCTTATTAAAAACTTAAGAAAAGAATAAAGTAAAAAATATTGTGAAACAGAAAAAGAGCTCAACAACTATAGCTGTGAAAAATGTAGAGTTTAGTGCAGTTGAACTCACTTTTCAAGTCGGTTTCTGAACTTTCTCAAGTACTTTTCATTGTCTTCTTCAGCAACCTTGAAGATTCTGTCAATAAACTCTTGCCTTTGATTGACATCTAACTTTCTGACATCTACTTCCCTGTGATGAGCATGATCACCCTCAGCATATGTTTGGAGGATACTTGTTCTTAGCCTGTCATAGGTGGGTAATTTCTCTATGGCTGCCCACTTGAGAGCCTCTTCATCCTCATCAACATTTGAAGTCCTTCGAGAATATCTTCCACTCGCAAACACATCCTCCATCCTCCAACTTGTCCTGCTTAAGCTCCTACTTATGCTTCTCGTTAAGTTCCCACTCTCCATTTTATCTATCTCTTCTTCTTCTTCTTCTTCTGAACTACTACTGGATTTCAAACATATTCAGAACAAATTAAAACATGCATAGATGCTTCTTCTAATCTATCACATGCAAAAGAGAATATAACAAAGGGAACGCACACTAGTTTCTTGTTCAATGTTTCTAATTAACTTTTAGGTTGATATAAATATTATATTATGCTTTCTTAAATACAAGATATGCCCAACTTGCTGCATGATTTGCGGATATCATTATGTATAACTATGATACGCATGATATATATCAGTCTAAAATATATCTATACATAAAAGATTAGGAAAGTGCAAATACTACTTACTTGAATGTATTGGATTACTTTTTTGGATTATAGAATGGCACAAGGACCAAAAGCAAAGGAAAGGTTGGTTGTTGGGGGTTGAAACTTGAAACTTGAAACTAGAAAGTTATGTTTGGAAATGTATTATCTGCATATTTTCCCCTCATTTTTGAGAGAAGATTTGGAAACTGCAAATAATTTGTGCTATGAAGAAAGTTTTATATATGGTCTAATGATACGTACGATGCATAATGAGTGAGAGAATGATATATAGAGAGTGAGGCGGTCAAGAAGAGGCAGAATTGTCGTTTGTCATAATCCTATATTCAAATGAGACACTTGCTGACTAACTAATAATTAAATATTTACTATGTGTAGTTGTGCCAAATGCAAGAAAAAAGGGTTCATTCAAAACGGGTATGTTGAACAATGAACAACATCACTCTCTCTCTCTCCGTCTTTTGTGGAGATGCAGTATTATGAAAAATATGTAAAAATGTTATTCTTCCGATAATATATTTTATATGAAGTTAAAATATGGGTAGATCAACCCTTAGGATAGATTTAATGTTAAAAAGTTAGAATAGTATTTAAGATTGAATTTTATTACTGTCATTTTAATTTCTATGAATAAAAAGAGTAATATCAATTGGATTATTTGTCAAAATATTATAAAAAAATTTCCGAGAATCCTCCTATATATCATTAGATTCTTTAGAATTGATAAACTAAACGTTAAGAATACACCTAAATATCTTTAATTTTAAAAGAAAAGAATAAATTAATTTTGTTAGAAATTAATTTTTTATGTTTATTTAATTTTTATATTTTAGAATTATTTTCTTATTTTTAAAGTAAAATAATATCAATATTTGATTCTTGTATCATAATTTTTCTTTAAGAAAACTCATAAATAAAAATATATCATGCTATTCTCGACAAAAATATTAAATACAAATACAAAATATAAATATTTTTGATTGGATTTAATAATAATCAATAATGCATACAAAACAAATAAAAAAAATACAAAATATAAACCAAGACTTATCACTAATATATATATATATATATATAGAGGAGGGTTCAAACGACACCGGTGTAACTTTTACTAAGTGTTACACCACTCAATAACTTTATATTAATTTTGAATTTTGAAAATCTAACCGTTAGATTGAAAGTTCATATCTCTTAGATCATATATATAAAAAAATTTTAAATTTGAACAACAACTTGAAGGTAATCAAAGTGTTCATATTTTAGTGTATTTTGAAATGAATATATTACGTCAATTTTATTTTATGAGAATGAAGTATCAAATCATTTTGGATTAATATAAAATTTTGTATATATGATCTAAGAGATATGAACTTCCCATCTAACGGTTGGATTTACAAAATTCACATTTAATATAAAGTTATTGAGCGGTGTAACACTTGGTAAAAGTTACACCGCTCAATAACTTTATATTAAATGTGAATTTTGTAAATCCAACCGTTAGATGGGAAGTTCATATCTCTTAGATCATATATTAATTTTGGGACGAAAGGAGCAAATGGTTTTGAAACAGGCTCACCTATTTCACTACTCACACTACTAGTATTGTAGGCGGATGATATGCGGTATGTTGCAAAACCATACTGAGCCATGCCTCTTTCACACCCCCCTCTCTCTCTCTCTCTCTCTCTCTCTCTCTCTCTCTATATATATATATATATATATATATATATATAATACATAAATATTTCATTAATTAAAAACTCAAATAAATACAAAATATGACTCCAACACTAAAATATCCACCCCAATATCTTGATACTCAATTGGGCAAACTGTGAGCAATTAATTGGATGCAGTGCAACCTTTAAACTTAACAGCTAGCATTATTTATCAACTCTAAACATCCGTCATGAACGGATGATTAGGCGTACAATATCTTACTGTAAAGATTAATATGAAGTGTCCAAAACCCATAAGATCACAATGCTAGCAGGGTTAAGTATCATTTGATGAGGATTATGATATTAGTTTTTTGTTTTTAGCAAATTAAAATGTCACAATTAAAAAGATAGAGCACGAATGACACTTTGACCAATAATTTGGTCATGCATTATATGAATAAGATGGATCAGTATGTTTATTCAGATCAATTTCCCAGATAAAAAAAAAATCATTATGAAATACTAGTAGTATTGATGGAACCAACAATTTTCTCCTCCTCAAATAATTTGTTTAAGAGTCTGAATGGTATTTGAGGACCTGGTCAAATGCAAGTAAGAGTATCATATAGGCCTAAAAATCGAAGAGTTCTATAAACTGAGCAATTCAACATGTATAAATTGCGACTACTGAAGTTATCCTCCGTCTTATGTCACTTAATATATTTTTTTTTATCAAATAGAAAATTATTACAATGAAGTTTGACTAAGTTATTATATGTATCCTTCTCGGATTTTCTCTACAGACAGTTAAACCCAAAATTAGAAGAAAAACACACACACACACATTAAAATCAAACCTAAGCACTGATCAGATGATTTTTGAGGTATATAAGTAGTTATATATCTTTTAGTTGTTTGAGAATATTTTAACTGATGATATGGTTAAGTGAAAAAAATATGAATTTGGGTATTAAAAAAATTAAATATTACTTTAACATGTATTAACTCATATAACAACTAAAAATTAAAGAAGATCGGTGTATAACAAAATAAATATCAAGTATAATTTTATTAAATTTTAAGAGATGTGAATATGATTCATTTTTATTTTTTTAACGAGAAAACAAGAAAAACGATTAAATTAAAGGAAGTTGACTTGGTTTTCCCCCTCCTTAATTATTAGACCATGTCAATGAAAAGCAAACATTAGTTGCGTAATTTGCATTTCCATGTTATTATATATGGCGCGTGAGTGGTTATTTATATATTGAAGGACCTTAAGAAAATCGAAATATAACAATGTCTGAACAAAGAAACCCCGTTACCTTTATAATATTATTGTAGATTGTAGGCACATTACGGCAGCTGCAGCCTCTAGAATGTATTATCATGATTCATGGAGTTTTATTTCAACAAGGCTATGCTCCATGCGCTTTCAACTCTCTCTTACATAACATATATACTATCTTATTATATGACAATTTGGTTGACTATGACTCCCTTCATTGATTCATTCTTCACCATAAATATCTAATGTGATGATAATACAAATAATATTAAGAAATTCAACATAAATTTAATATAACTAAATTTAAATACGCATACTCTATTACTTAATCTGTGCATTATCGTTTTAAATAAATAAATTCAAAAAGACAAAAGAAAACTAATAAGGATAGAGGAATGGATGCACTTGTCATCATCAGTACTATTCCCTTTCTAGAAGCCATTTCATTAATCTGATTTGAATTTTGGTATCCATTTATTGCTCATTTTGACCAGCAAACCATCTTAGATTTTTCTCATTTAAATAAGTTTAAATATAACGAAACATAATCATTAGTCCAAAAATTACTTATTTAAAGCTATTTTCTAATAATTATTTTTAAAAACTAAAAACAAAAACAGAACCATTCTAAAATGAACCTATAAATCTTTAATTTATATGATAATACAAAAACTCCAGCTCATTACCCAGAACTTTCCCTCTGCCATGATTCCTACCCTCAGTCAATTTCATTTCCGTTGTTACGTTAAATTTTTAATACTAAATTGTGATACTTGCAAAAATTATAATGACAACTTATTAGTCATTGATCTGATGCTTTTATTTTATTTTTTAATTTATCTAATGACTTTTATTAAGTGGTTTGTAATGAATTCCTATGTATTCAAGTTTGGTCGTGACAAGTTATGAGTCTAAAACAAAATAACAGATATAGGCTTTTTATGTACTAGTATTTTAAAATATACATATATTTAATAAAAATAAATAAATAAATAAATGTCTAATTTTATTACATGAAAAAATCACTTATAATAAAATACAATAGATACAGAATATTACATGTGAATAAGTGTTTTAGTTAATTTTTTTTTCAAAACAAATCAAAATTTTACTAGCTTTATTTAGGTAAGTTAAAATTCGATAATTGATTTTTATAAGTAACAAAATGTAGTTGGAGCATCGATGTCAAAAAAAATTGATTCTTTTTTTTCACATTAAAGTTTTTATTCTTAGTCCCCCTAAACCCACCTTAGGCCGGCCTGTATGTACTTTGTTCATGGTACTCTATTGTCAAAAGGGATAAAATCATTATGAAGCTTTATGAAGGAGATGGATCTATTATCAAAGTGCACCTTGTAAAACATTCATCCTCTCAATTCCGATAGCTTCTCAATATGTGAAAGGTCAAAATTAACTATTGAATAAAATTCATTTTATTTTTACATTTGAAAGTGTACAATTTGTTATACCTCTAATGCACTCCAAGAAAATTGATAAAAGAAAATAAGGCCTGTTTTTTTTTTTAATTAACGTAAAGTATAATACATATTTATTTTATAAAATTCATAATTGGTGTGACTCAGCTTTATAACGGTTTGAAAGAATGGAGTTTACTTGTAAAATTATTTATTTTCTCTTTCATACCAAAAAAAAAAAAAAGGTGAGGAAGCACGCGACTGAAATGAAGCATTCTCAATCACGCGTCTCTTGGGATAGCAACTAAAGGCTATAGCAGTACTTGAAATTTGATATCCCAATGGTGAACATATAATATGATATTATAATTAACATAACCATTTCAATCTGTGAGAGTATTTAGTATAATTAGTTTATGAGTTAATTACCTATACACTGTCAGTGTAAAGTTTTTTAATCAGAATTAGTATTTTTTTTATTTTAATTTAATTAAATAAACAGATAAAAATGTACTATTAACGGCTCTGATTGACTTTACACTGGCAGTGTATAGGTGATTAACTCTTAGTTTATATACCAAACGAAAATTTTAAAACTCGAGTGTATTTTTTATTTTATTTTTATTAGTATTAACTATTTAAAATTTATAAATTATAATATCAATTAAATTAATATTATTTAGATTATTTAAAATTAAAAAATAAAATTTTAATTTATTTAAAATATTAATATACTTGTTTATTTTTAAAAATATTTACTTGTTAATTTCATTCATCGAAACTTTGATATTTTAAACAGGTTTTTAAAGATAAAATTTGATCATTTTGTTTGTTTCGATATTTAAGACATTTACCAATATCATAAAAAAGTTAAAATGTTCAGACTATTTTTAATAAATCATTAGAAAACAAAAACAACCGTTTAGTAAAAAAAATTAAAATGTTAATTTTGAGTTATGAACACTTTATACATGTTATAGTTTCTTAAATTGTGATAATTGTAAATTTTTGTTATGATTGATTGTTTATTTAATTTTATTAATTAAATAAATATTTGGTGATGTGTTGTTTTAAAGTTTAAAAGATTTAAGGATTAAAGAATTATTATAAGTTTAGATGTTTAAAGATTGTGTTGAGTTGATGTCAAAGTTGACCAAGATGAAAAAATATTTAAGATTTTCTAAAAACTTAAACTTCATAAGTTCATATCCTAAAAAATCTATAAAGGTGTTTTAGAGAGATGGACTTTGGAGCTAAAAGAATCATTTTCTTCTTCTATCTCCATAATAGTGTCTCAATCCTTCCATGTATTAGAGTTGTGGTGTTCGTTAGAGATTCAGAACAAGGGAGCAGAGAATTAAAGATTGAGGTTGTCGTACAACGTACAAACTCTAAGGGAGCATTTGTTCTTCATCGTTCATCCTTCTCTTTCTTATTTTTGGGAGATTCAAGTTTAGAAATCATAGTGAGAGGTTAGAGAGAGATTCTTTAAACTCAAGTTTTCCTTCCTCCTTCGTGAGAATTTGCCTTTCTCCTTTCCTTGTAATTATCCACTCAGCTAGTTGGAGGATTCGAGCTTTGAGTTAGAAGTCTCAAGTTCTTGGGTTTGTGGTTTCGTTCTTCCCTCCTCCTCTTTCAGATTGGATTCTCCAAGAGGTAAAGAAAACTTGTGTTGTTATGGATTGCATGTTGAATTGTGTTGTTTCAAGTTCATATAGTTGTTGAATCCATAATTCTGAGTGAAAAGGAAATGATGAATTGTTGAGTCTTTGGTTCTTGATGGGGTTTTGTACGTGCTTAGTGATTCTTGGTAATCTATGGTTGCATGTTGTTTTTTATGATGAAATTGTGTCATACATGTTATATAAATGTTGTTTAATACAATGCATGTTGTTGGGATTGTTGAATTTCAAATGTATTCGTGGATTTGGGTTCTACATAAGTGGGAAAATTGACACCACATCTGATGTGCCTTCAAGACGTCAGACATGACTCCAAAGAGGGGTCTCTAGTTGGAATCATGTCATGCATAGATTGAATGATGTCAAATGTTAGGAGAGAGACTCATCTCTACCTAGATTCACGTCGGACACAAGTGTGTGTGGTGCTAGGCATAAGTCAAGCAGAGACCTTATACCTGCTTGGGTTAGATGTGGGTTTTGCCACACCAAGCACAAGAGAGTGGAAGACTTTTTGTCTCAACCACGCTAAGTGCGAGTAGTTTAGGCCTGGGAGTGGCGTTGGGCATGGGTTCCATGAATTCTTATGTGTTGTTTAAGTTGTTTTCTAAATGCAAGGCGATGAATAAGTTGTATGATGGATAATTTATAATAATAAATCTATATGTTATGAGTTGATACGTTATGTGATGATATTCATGTTGTTAAGCCATAAGTTGATTAATAAATGAGTTGTATAAGTAATGAGACGATGTAGTGGATAGAGTTGTAAAGTTGTGTGATGTTTTAGTTACTCAAGTTGTTAAGTTGTTAAACTATTAGACATGTGACAAAGATACATGTCTCTGCTAAGATACAAAAAACTAGAGGAGGGTAAGTTTTGCTTTCAAAAATTTATATCTCATTATGTGGATATACATTGTTATGCTTTAAGAGCTCAAGTGTTGAACCTTTAGTAAGTAAGTTGACTTTTGAATGGTAAGTTATTGCATTGTCTCGACTAGGTTTTATGTGATATTCGTACGTGGATAAGGTCAAGGTATACCTATATAAGGATACCATCTGCGTAAAGTACGAAGTTGTGGACATAGTCCCTAAACGAGTATTGGAGGGGCATAGTACCTGGAGGATAATTGGTGAACTAATCTCATAGGTGGCTTAATGATGTAAGGTTATGTGTGGTAGACTCATATCCAAATTATTCTACCTTAATAGTAGTACTAGACTTCCTAGTTTAAGTGGTGAACCTAAGAAATCAAATTGAGTTATTAGATGGTCTAGCTAAGGTAGGTCACACGTTGTGATTCGGTAAGACCTAACCACTAAAATTATTTATTTTTGTTGTAGGAGATCTCCAAAGTTGATATGCATAATGTAGTGTGGTCTTGTACAATCGCTTAACTAACAAGTAAGGTTTATTTTGCATACTATATGTATTTGATGTAGTTGTACATATATTTATACATAATTTTTATATGGCTCGTGAGGATTTTCATTTTCAGTTGTTTATTTTTTACTTTATATAAATATAACTTACACGATAATTTATATAATTGTTGCATGATAACTTTAGATTGTTGTTACTACCCTATTATGCTATGTAATAATTGAGCTATAATATATATTAGATTGTTACAAAAATAAATAAAATAATAATTGGATCATCACTTTTTGTTTTTATATTTTTATAATTTAATATCCAATATGAGATGTCAATTTACAACCCATAAAATTTATTTGAATATTCTTTTATACCGGACTACCGAATCATATTACTATTTTATCATTATACACGTATATCAAGTTTTGATCTCTACTCGACAAAATTCTCATAATTTTCCTAATTTTTCCAAGTAATTTAGACTTATTAAACTTCCATAAAAAATATCAAACTATGAATACGAAGATGATGTTAAATAAGAAAATGATAAAAATAAATAAACTCTTTAATAAATTAATTAGATAAGAATATGATAAATGAGAAAAGACGGTGAGGTCTCCTCAAAATTAATCATATTTAAAACTTGCAAAGATATGTTGAAAAAATTAATTTAATTTTCTATCATTTAATTAGATAATTAAATAAAAGAAAATAAAAATATCCTGATAATTTAATTTTCTATCATTTAATTATTAAAATGAATTTCAATGCCTTTTTTTTAATTGAATATATTCTTCCACAAATATATTTCTCGTTGAAGTTCCATCCAGAAAGTTAAAAGAAAATTTTACAACAGCCAAATGTAACTGAGCTAACATTATTTAAGTACTATATTTTAACATAAATAACCCACAAGTAATACCCAATGTCTAGTGTTGCGTAAATATTAAATTAAAATTATTTTTTATTAAAATATCCGCCAAGAATATATATATAGAGAGATTATCAACGCAAGCAAATAAAGTTGTATCAATACAACTTACCGCATGAAATTCATTAAGAAGAAAAACTATTACCTCGAAATCTCAAATGTATAACTTCCTGAAATATTTAGATAGAAAAAAAAATAATAAAAGTTAAATATGCATGTTTTTGGTATATTTAAAATAAACGTATTTTGATTTTAGTTTTTATATAAATTTTTTTATAAGGGATATAATAATAATAATAATAATAACCTACCTATAATTTTCTCTCTTGAAATATGCAATATATCGGTGTTGCAGTCCATTTTCCGAGCTAGACTTATATTTTGATATCTCAAATTTAGGTCATGAATGTCTCTGCAATATAATAAACAAGTAAACAGCACTCTATCAATATTTTAGGTAATGCAATTTTTAAGTTGAAAGCTTCATTTAGAGATGTCTGATTAATAATAATAAATTATATTTAGAACAACATCAACAAAAACTACTACTTAAAAACATATGCCTACTCTAAACTAGAAGAAAACAAATTCAGTTAAAAAGGTAGAATTCAAAGTATCCAAATACTCCAAACGTTTAAACGCAAGTATTTTAAGATAGAATGTTTTCAAAATGATAACATAGGTAACCACTGAATACGAAGAAAAATTCCCAACAGATGCCGAAGAAAATCAAAATTATAATATTAAATGATGGAGACGTACCGTACCGATTGACGCAAATTTTGCAACTTTTTTCCTTTCTTCTCTATCTTCTTTGTGAGCATGTTGCAAGAGAGGATGAATGAGAAAAAAAATTAAAAAGAAAATTGTATGAATTTCAAAATTTTAAGAAGCAGTATAAAATGGACAAACTTACATTTGAAATTAAAAAATGGATGTAAATGCACACTGCAATTTTTAGATAAAAAGTCTGAAGAATCTAATTGAAGACAAGAAGAAGAATACGAAGAATGAAGTGAGAGAAGAAGAATAGTCATATGAGAAAGGAAGGAAAAAATGGAAAGGTGAAGAGAGAAAGAATAGGAAAAAAAAATTAATTCAGCAAAAGCTATTATCGATTAAAAAGACATAAATGATATCGTATGACTTTTATTACATATAACTGCTTTCAAATTTAAAAATTTTCCAAAATTCCTTTCCATTTGAAATCATATCGTTCCGTATGATATCAAAATATTTATAAAGATAGATAGATAAAGAAATACAGAACATAGATTTAATAATTCATATTTTATATTAAATTTTAATTATTTAATTAAATTTTTTTAATGTATATATTAAGTGTGTAAGTTTTAAAAATATTTGAATTTATATTTTATTAATGACTTAATTATAGTGTTGGTCCTCTTAATTTAATAGAAGAGTAATTTCAGTCTTTATAATTTTAATTGTTTAATTTTAATCCACAAATTTAAAATTTAGGCAATTTTAGTTCCACCATTAATTTTTTATCTAATTTTTAACGGATGTTAATGACATGACAAATTTAGTAAGATAACTTTTTGACTTGGATAATTTGTGCCATATAAGCATCAAAATGACACTAATTATTTAATTTTTTATAAAGCCAAATTATTTTTATAAAATACTGAAATAATAGATAGAGAAACACAGTGAAAATAGATCTAAACAAATCGTCACTATAATTATAACTTTTTGGGGAAAAAATTCGTCTTCATCATATTTCTGCAAATACAAATTGTTGGACATGCTTTTCTTTTAATCAAAAGGGGTTGTTTGGCCATTGCAGGATTATTGCCTTATTTTACTGCGCGTAAAAATCTTCGGCTCTCTCAATTAACTTACTTTTCCATTCGGCGCATATACCATTTTTCTTTTCTACATCATTGATGTCAGTTAAATTTTAGATGATAAATTGTTTATAGGACAAAAATTGTCTATTATTTAAATTTATGGATCAAAATTACGGAATTAAAATTATGAAGACCAAAATTGCTCTTACACTAAATTAGAAAGATCAAAAGTGCAATTAAGCCTTTATTAATTTATATTGATGATTAGTCATAAAAATATTTTATACATTAATTTAAATTAATAAAATAAAGTATTAAATAATTTTTAATTTTTTAAAATTTTGTAGACTTAATTTATGTATTAAAAACTTTTAATTCAAGATTTAAATTATTAAAATTTGATATAAAACATGAACTATTGAGTGAAATAAGTATAAGTAGTCTTACTTTTAGAATAAGTGAATTCCTAAGAAGAGTTTAGTTAACACATGTTATAATTTTTAATTAAATCTATCATCTATGATACAATAAATGAAAATAAAAATTATATCATAAAATTATTAATCAATATTTACTATAATATTTTTTTGTAAAAATTAACATTTATTATATACAAATGATTCTCATTTTTATTTTTTATTATAAATAAATTTAATATAATAATTATATTAATAAAATATTTTAAAAATATATATGAACTAGATTAGTATCCCGTAAGATCTGTCAATTTGGGTCTAATTAGTCCGATCAACCCACAAATAAGGCCAGAGTGAGCTTTAAAAAGATAACTTAAATAGAATTTGACCATTTTAGTTTGATTAGCTAAGCTTGACAGGTTAAATGGGTAAAGATTAGTCTCGCCCACCAACTTAAGAGTTGTTCCATTAAATAATAAATGGAATAATCTTAACTATCATCAATTTATAATTTTTGCCATGTATTATAAAATAATAAAATAAAATATAATAATAATCTAATAGTAATAGTCTTTCGCACCTTTATATTTGCTTATAGATTTGTGGTTATACACTTAGAGTTAAGATTAGTCATTGTGGGAGTTTTATCACTCCTATTATGTCCTTGATGACTTAATTAATCTTATGACATGTCAATTGTTCAAGTATATTTACCTAACTAATTGAGTCTTTTTTCTTGTTTTGACATTTTTCCTATATTATTTCAATTATCATCTACACAAAAATAATTAAGTATTTCATGACAGTATATAATATTAATTAATTATGTTATAATATTGTTCCTTTTATTGTAAAAAAAGCATTTACTTTTTTTAATCTATTTCTTTCAATTAGGGCAATTTGGCTCGATGGCATGATGGACTAAGTTGACACGTCATGGGCTGGGTTGGGCCAAAAAAGGAGTGCAAAAAGAATATAGATTGGACTAGTTTAACCTTCTCGTATAAGTAAGGTTGAGTTGGACATTTGACACCTCTATGCATAATTCATGAGATAATTTTTTAATCAAGTCATAATATTATTAAGATAAGATTAATATAAGGTTTTAAAATATATACTATCCCTGTTTTCATATAAAATTCAATTACTAATATTAAAAAAAAGTTAATTTAGTTGATAATAATAAATTTATCATATATATATATGATAAATTTTAAAAGGTTAAAATCTAAGTATAATTTTTCAAGTGTAGTTGATAATGTTTTTCTATTAGAATTAGAGGTTTACATTAGTTATATGCGTAAATTTCTAATTTTAGTTAGAAAATAACACCAAATAAATTTTTTTACTATAAATATATTTTTTCTCATTTAAATCATTGTAAAAATTTATTAGTTTTAGTTTTACACCTCGACATTTTCCTCTATAAAAAAAAAAAGAAAAAAAATGTTGACAAATATTTTTAAATTTGATTTACATTAATTAAATTACTTTTAGAATGCATAAACTTTGGTCATTTTGTTGCGAATGACAGAAACATTTACGTAAGGCCATTCTTTTGGGCTAACATATAGTAGTTTCGAAGTAGGGCTTTGAAAATAGGGCCATTAATTGCGGTAAACAAAGGCATGTGTCCCAACAGCCTTTTGGAAATAGAGACTGAAACTAATGCTTGGATGAAGAAATAGAAAAACGAAATAAGAAGGATGTAAATAGAAGAAAAAAAAGAAAGAAAAGAATTTATAGTTATTTAGATGAATATATAATGGTGTGATTGGGTAAGGATGGGAATTTTTTACGTAAATAATATTTTTTTTAAAAAAAATTACTAAAATAACACTTGTACAACTTTATTTACACAACTAGAACCGTTTACTGTTCACACTCAGAATTCGGTTCACGGGGAACCGAATTGAGTTGTTTTTAATTTTTTTTTTTGCATTTTTTGCTAGTTTGCGCAAGTCTGGGAAGCAGAACGGCCCGTTCCGGAAGCAGAACGACCCGTTCTGCTTAAACACATAGAGTGTTTTTTTTAAATTGGAACGACCCGTTCTAATGTTAAAAAAAACACTCAATGTGTTTAAGCAGAACGGCCCGTTCCACTTCCCACACTCGCGAAAAATCAGCCATAAACAAAAAAAAAAATTAAAAATAACTCAGAATTCGGTTCCCGAGAACCGAATTCTGAGCACAAAAAAAAAAGAAAAAAAAAATTTGAAGCTCAGAATTCGGTTCCCCGGGAACCGAATTCTGAATGTGAACAGTAAATGGTTCTAGTTGTGTAAATAAAGTTGCACGGGTGTTATTTTGGTAAAAAATTTTAAAAAAAATATTATTTACGTTAAAAATTCGTAAGGATGGTTGTAAAGGGAAGAAGTGAATGGAACGTGGGACATGCTAATCATGCATACCAATGCTTCACTTGTTTCTTTTCTCGTCTTTTAACAACAATAGTACACTGTACACCTAAGCTTAATTCAATCCATAACTCCTCTCTCTCTTCAATGGATTTCCGTGCGCCGCCGCCATCTCCCGTCGCCTCTGCGCGGCGCTCGTCGCTCCCCGACGACGACGTTTTCCGCCAATTCTTGGACACCTCGCTCCGTCTCCCAACCATTAACGACCACCGACAACCACCGCCTCCCAAGGTTGACTTTCGATATTTGTGTTCCGACAACGCTCTCCGACATGTCGTTTCGGAATCTTTGGCCACTGTCGGATGCTTTCAGCTGATCAACCATGGGATTCCACTGGACTTGATCGCATCGACCGCGGAAGACGCCGTCGGAATCTTCCAGATGCCGCCGGAGAAGCGAGCATCCGCCGCGAGGTCGCCGGAGAGTCCTTGCGGGTTCGAGGAACAGGATTCAGAGGAGAATGAGTTAAGCCAAGAGTTCGTGTGGGGTACAGATATCGACTTCAACATCAAAATGGAGACTCTTTTTCCCGTTGGATATTCAAACTTTAGGTATCTAACATGCAAATCAATTGTCATTAAATACCATAATTCTTTTAAACAAATTAAGATACATGTTCGTAATATTTATTTATTTTATTTTTAATTATGACTTCATTTGATTTACATATTATGTTATCTAAGAGTAATTGCTGAATGTGATGTAATTAGAGATATTATTTTATTTTTATATAGATTGATCTAGTAAGAATAGGTTATACTTTTTTATTAAAAAAAAACTTTTTTACCATTATTTTTGCTAATCTGATATGTAAAAAATGTGATTGTATTTATATAATATTTGTATAATTTAGATGGTTAGGGTTTAATAGTCCATTAGCAAGCTAAAAATAGTCTTTTGGTTTGAGCTTTGATAGAATGAAGGAAGAGAAAGAGAAACATAATATTGCCTGTCATACATTATAACTCAATGCAAAACATAGTTGAACTGCCCCATCAACTGAAAATTCATATTTGAGATTTGGGCCGATGATTGGCCCAAGAGTCTGAATGAGACCAGACTACTTTATACATTAGTTCATTATAGTTAGTTGACAAAAAAGAAATCAGTAGTTCACCGTTGAAAAACAGAATATTGAGTCTTCACAACACAACAAAACATATATTTTAGGGTTAATAACTTAAATTTGTAAAAAAAATATTTTAAAAAAAAACTGGAATTTTTTTTGGATCATTCAAAAAATTAAAAGAAAAATTAACAACACCAAAAAAATATCATGAATAATGTAGCAAACAATAAAAATATAAGTTGAGGAGGACAAACTTTCCAAATTTGAAGCGGTTATTAAGAAAATTGTTTTTGTTTTGGAAGTTATGATTATTTTTCAACAACTTAATTTTAAGTTGATTTACTATATAAAAAGTAAAAAAAAATGATTTTCTTATTATATTAAAAAAAATAAGCACCTTAAAATTATTTTTTCTTACAAATTTACCCAAGTAAAATTTTATTATAATTATAATCGATTATTGAAATAATTTAATTTTTATAATTTTTTTTTAAATAAACTCAACAATTTTTCAAATAAACAATGGCAGTGCAATGCGGAACGCAATTAACAATCGATGCCAAGATTTTTCATGTAACAAGCAGTGATAATGTGTCTGATTATAAATTTGTTGAACTTTCAGTAAGAAGATGGACACTCTTCAGTCGAGGATAGAAAAGGTTGCGGAGATAATTTTGACAGTGATAATCAAAGATTCTCCCAAAAAATTTGCAAATTGTGTTGAGATGATTGGTGGGCATGAACGTGGGACACTTTGTTGTGTTTATAAGCACAATCCAGCTAATACGCAAAGCCAATGGACAAACTCTTTAAGGTACGATGTGATTAGGATGTTGGTCAGGGGAAACGATTACTCTCATTCATTGTGCTTGCATGTATGTCATGATGCTTTAGACTTTCAACTTTACTCCAAGAAAGGTTGGCTCTCTTTCTCCCCAGAAAAAAGAGCCCTAGTAATCACCGGAGGGGACCAAGCTCAGGTTAATTTCCACTTTTAACTCTTCATTTTTAGTTTCTGCACATTATATATTGAAACAAATTAAGAAAAATAAATTAATTTAAAAAATGGTGATCACTTTTTGTATTCACAAATCAACTTTTGTAGTTGGTCTTCTGAAATTGTAACAAATTAATTGGAGGAAGTTGTTAAATGTGCTTTTTAAGAAATATATGTGATACTTGAATAAATCTAGTCTCAACTAGCTTTGAAGTAACAAAGTTAAGAGGGACAACAAGATGAATATGGTAGAATAGGTTTTTTTTTTCTTTCCATTTAATATGGTTTTATATGTATAAAATACCTCCAATAACTATAATGCTATAATAACTTGTGTTATTGTTTGTTATAGATTTTGAGCGACGGGCACTACAAGCATGTGATTGGAAGGCCAATATTTAAGGGTGAGAAAGGGGACTTCATTTCAATGGCTTTCCTCTATTCTCCACCAAACAGCAAGAACAATTATGAAACCAGTGGGGAAAGAACTATTTCCCTAGCCTTGCAAGCCATGTTAGCTATGATTCTGACCATTGTCTATCATGTCCTGATTTATGTCTACAAAAAAATTTGATCTTGTCATTGACTTTTTTGGAGTTGCTAAACACACATTAATGCTTTGGAATTTCCAATATCATCTTTTTTGAGTTAAGTATAGTATATATGCCAAATAGCCAATAAGATCAATAGCATCCTCTTCAAAATTATGAGGTTGGCAAAAGATTATCATAAATAAATTTGAATCTAATTAGGTCCCGTAAAAAGGAGAAGCTCATTTCCCTTGTGGCTAAAGTCATCCATGTAGCAACGAGAGCTGCTTATAGGCAAACATGACTTTCTTGGTTGTGTCCATGTCCTTGTTGTAAAAGTTAAGAAGATTGGGAGGGATTTTTCAGAGAGAAACCTAGCTTTACAGAGAGTAAACAAATGCGTATTAACACTTCCTCTAAAAACAATTCCAATTTCCTACCAAATGGAGCATAACCCTCGTTTGTAATTATAGTTTCTCATCACGGGTTATAAAATAGCATAAGTACAAGACTAAATGGAACCAGAAAATAGCAGAAGTTCAAATGCTAGTATTGTGCATTCCACAAAACAAAAAATTATTTTTCGCTACCTTTTAAAATAATTGGAGATTTTTGACACCAATAAAACCAACAAAGCTTGATCTAGCTGGCTGGAGAAGACCTATTTCCTACAAAAACGTGAGTTAGATTTCTTTGTTGACCTGAAAGATCAAGTTGATTATTTGCAAGTATTTTTATATTCTGAGTCTTGAAACATGTTCTAGCCATGAGCCCAAGGACTCAATTTACTTAAAAACTTTGTCAAAAAAATGTATAGAATTGATATGAAGGCCAAAAATATCCATCAACCTATAAATCCTAGTTTTTTTTTTTATTTTTTATGACTAACCTATATATCATAGTCTAACGACACTAAAATAAAATCGATCAGATCCAAATTATTTGTGTTTGATCCAAAACTTGAGAAACCCAAAGTCCGGTGGGCTAACATGTACAAAGTTGAAACCAAAATTGTCCCCCGTATATAGTTCAGAGGAATAGTGCTGTAAAGGCCCATAATCTTAATACCACCACCCCACCCCTTGGACCTAAAAAATTAAATCCAAGCCTAAATTAAAATGTAAAGTGAATCAAACTAATGCTTTACGGTTGATTATAAACAGCATATCAAAATATATAAATTTCCATTCATATTATGGCCCCCAAAAAAAAAATGGAAAAGTCAAATTATTTAGCTACCCTTTTTTGTTGCAAATGTGTGAGCAAATTATAAAATAAACAAGTAAATAAGAGTGAATTTTCGATTATTGTTACCACGTACCAGAAATAATCACAAGTCAATAAGTCATAAAGGAAGTTTGCAATTATAGCACTAAATAAAAAAATAAAGCAGCAGAATATGCAGCTTTTCCCTAATTTCAGATAGAAGCCTAAATGTGCGTGGCCTGATTATTGGGTTGATAATGTCGTTTTATCCATTCCATTGGAGATAGCGAAATTTTCTATGATCAATTATCTTGTGTTTGCCACTAAAATAGGGAGACATTCTTAAGGAAGAGTTAATCTAGATTCTGAAGACAATCATAATCATTATTTTATGATAACAAAAGCGATTGTGAGAAAAAATGAATTCAACAAAATGGATAAGGCTAAATTTTATCTAGTCCTTTATATCTGTATTGTCAGGTGATCCATTGTATATGGTTGCTCTGACACGTCTCAAAAAGCAACACAATGCTAGCTATATCATTACCATTTTAAGATCTAAAATGAAACTTTACTTCAGCCACGATTCAATCCTATAATCGAACCAATAAATAGAAAATAGGGTCATCACTAATTTAGTAACTAGTTTAATATTATTCTTTTTTTTTAATTGAATAGCCTACTATATTGCTGATTTCTATTTGATATTATATCACTACAAAAACGTCACTATAAATACAATATAAAAATATTTAAATTATCCGTCTAAAATTTAATACATGGTAACTTTAACATAATATCGCACGTGTAACAATTAAACTGGTAGAATTTATTTTCTATAAAAAGCTTTAAAAGTGTTATTTTACTAAATCTGGTATCTAGAGTGAAGTTAAATGAATATAGTCTTGATTTAAAGTAAAGAAGCAGAACAAAAATAGCATAGCATTTGAAAAGATGGATAATTGTAAAAGCAAAATGAACATATTTAGTTATAACTGAAGTTGGGAGCATAGCTAGCTTGGAATTTGGTGGCTTGGTCTGAATTTGCCACCTCCAAGTCCAGCAGCTTCCTTCGATAACCAAAAGATCATTTTTCCTTAATCTAATAGTCTTCATCCTTTAATTTATCACTAGTTTGCGGCAGCTATGCTTTAATTTGCAACAACCTTTATTTGGTTGAGTAAACAATTAGAAGTGATTAAAAGCAACCTCTTTTCATTTGCATTTTATATAATAAATATATCCGTTGTAATCCTCACTCTCATATATATATTTTAGGAGAAGTTGTTAGGTAATCCTAAATCACATGATCTTTAATTAGTCTCTACATGATATATACTCAGAAGTAATTATTATTTTCTTATAAGTTGAAAAATTTATTAAATACATGTCAAATATGTTTATATTTACATCAAAAACGTGATTTTTTACATCCAATTAAAGTTATTCCAACTTGTTTCTTCATTATATGCATTTTCTTAACATAAAAATATAGGAAAATGTAGATAAAAACGCATAAATGAACATGTATGTTATACCGTAATTTGTTGAGATTATAGATACTTTATAATCTTAAAATATCTTTTTTTTTGTTTTTTTTTTCATTTTGGGGACTTTATTTATTTACTCTCTTAACCTTACTTACAAAAGAAATGAGAATTGAGGAAGGTTCCTTTCTTAGCAAAATCAAGTAAATATAGGTTATTGCGCATGATTTTACCTAATATGAATTATAAAGGTAAAATGCACATATTTGAATCGATAATACTACGCGTGTAATAAAAGCTACTTTGGATGTTACTTGCCTAGTTTTTCTTTCATTAAGTCGATATATGTAGATGCAATGCAAGTGTCGCAAATCAAATGGTTTGAAGACAACACTATTTTTATAAGTTGGCTTTGTCTAACATGCATTATATATTAATCACATAAATCTATAAAGGCCCACTAAACCTTAAAAAGTCGTGGGTTTGTGGTCGTGATGGAGAAAGAAAGTGGGGATTATTACATATATTTGAGAAAAAACTAGTAGAGCAGAATTGAACATTTCCACTTCAATAATTGCGCACCGAGTTGCCTCACTTTTAGTTGTTCTTCCTTTTTATTGTTATTTCAAAACCAGCTTTTTTCTAAGAACTCGACTATACAAGAGGCATATTATTGTTGTATACACATAAACAAATTCAATCATTTATTTTACGTAAATTAATTGAGATTAAATTATTTGATAATGGGACCATTAGGATTGACTTCCAAATAGAAGGTTAAGGTAATATATTCATAATTTTAAGTTTAACTTATGATATCGTCATTATTAAAATAAAAAATTATTTGATAATGTTGTGGCTTTGAAGATCTTGTATTATTCTTTTTTTCTAAAAATAAATAGCAATATTACACAATAAAAAATAATTAAAATTTTTACATAACACAAACTGGTTGCTAAATTAGATAAAGTGATTATGATAATGTGATTTATTTCACTCATCCTAAAATTAACAAGTATGTTACATTATTTTAATAAAAAGTGTAAAAAATAATTTCTAAAAATGATCACACTTCTGAGTAAATAAATATTAAAATTTTATAACATATGGATAAATTATGTGTTTAAAAGTTATAGAGAATAATAAATATCCTATCACTCACTTTTAGTCTCTATATATATATTCACAAAATTGTCTTAAAATTGTTTCACTATCTTAATAAAAATTTCAAGTCTGTAGGACAAATTTGAAAAGAAAAAAAAACCTAAATTAGTGTATCACCCAATTATATAAAGATAGATCATGATAAATAATTTTTCAAGCTTTTATTTTTATTACCAATTCCTTTTTAGCCTTTGGGTAATTGATATACAAATATAACGGTTGAATTAGTTAAGTTTTTATTTTATGAAAAATTATTAAATAAATATTTATTTTTTTTATCGAGAGAGAGAGACTTAGTTTTAACTGCAGGAGAGAAAAAAGTCAAGTTACTATAATAATCAGTAGTTATTCTTGATTGAGTTAGTTTATTCGATAACTAATCCACACTTGTATATATATTCTTATTTTAGTAACATAATTTTAACTTTCTTAATATCCATATATAAGTTCACTCTACCATGTAAAAAACCTAAAGTGAATCGTGATTTAAACTTTTAATCATGTTTCCCTTTTGTATATATAAAACAAGAAGAAAATGGGAATTACCTCACAATTAATGACAATAGAATTTTAAATATTTTAATTTAGTACGTATTATTGGATTCTGACATTGTTTAGAAAATTCTATTTATATAGTTGCATTCATATATTTAGTATATATTTGAAGTTGAAGGATGCTTAAATAGGGGGTTTGGCATATCTTGAATGGACATGACACATGATTAATGAGTAGTATTATGATAATGTAGAGCGCGTGGAAGGTGATGAACACGCGCTGATATGTTGATGAATGAGTTGGCATGGTGGGAAATTGTTACTGGAAGAGCGCATCG